CGCATCTTCAGCAGCGGAAAGGACAGGCCGGCTGGAGGGCAGGGGCAACTGCTTCACCCTGGGAGAAGGTCGCTGGAGGCCACAGGGCCCTTCTGATGCCCCTTGGCCATCAGGCACAGTGGGGAGAAGGTTTCATTTCCAAAGCCCCATCAGTCAAGGTACCACTCGAACAAAGGTGCCCCAGCTGCCCATGCCACAATGCCTATCGCCTCATGCTGCCCACGGGCAGGGCACCCACTAGGCCAGCTCAGGGATAGCCCCGCCCACAGACAGGAGCAGAAAGTTGGGGGTGGTGGTTGTGTTTGGATCAGACCCAGAAGTCCGGGGCTTACCCTACCCCCATGTGTCACGTGACCCCTGCCCCCCTTCCCAGCTGCACTTGAGTGACAGCCCTGATGTGGGGGGGCCCCGAGGGCAGCTAACCAAGCCCACCCAGCCCAGGGGTCAGCCCAGGTCCAGCACTCTCTGCCCCCCGGGACTCACTCAGCACCCCAGGGCCCAGTGTCCAGTGTCAGAGACATGTCTTCTGACCCAGAGGACACAAGGCTGGATGAGACCCTGTGTTCTCTTCGTCCGGGTGCACAGAACGGCAGCCAGTGAGGGGGGATGTGGCACGATGTGGGAGAGGAGGTGTGAGAGGCCTCTTGGGTGCAGAGGAGACGGTGGAGTGGAGGAGACAGGGGAGCAGGAGAGCCAGGGCCCACCCACTTACTCTGCCATGACGCGCCGGACGTTGCTGGCATACAGCGCTGGGCTCCTCTTCTCCTCCTCTGAAGGCCGGTACACTGGGAGGAACTGCGGGGATACCGGACAGAGGCCACCTCAGCAGCAGTGACCCTGCAGGCCAGCTCCCAGCCTATGTCACCCGCAAAGCCCTCCCCGCCCTCACAGGCACACACCCAAGTGCATGTGTACACATGGGCACACACACACACAAGCATGTGCACGGACAGGCATGCACACACACTCAAAGGCTCACACCAAGATATGCACACACTCAGGTCCACACATACACATACACTCAGGCAAATATACATACAGCATACACACACACACAGGCCCACAGAGGCACACTCAGGCAAGTATAGATGCAGCACAAACAGGCGCACACAAAGATATGCACACACACAGGTCCATACAGGCATGTACAGACATACTCAAGCATATACACATACAGCACACACAGGCATGTACACACACACAGGCCCACAGAGGCACTCAGACAACTACAAACAGCACACCCAGGCCTGCACAACAGGTCCACATAAGAATGTGCGCGCGCGCGCACACACACACACACACACACACTCTCAGGCTCAGAGAGATACACTCAGGCACAAACACAGCATATGCAGGCATATACACATACACTCACAGGCTCACACAGGCCCACAGAAGACACACTCAGGCAAGTAAGTACACATACAACCCACACAGGCCCACACAGGCATGCGCACACACACACACAGGCACACACACAGGGGGACACACACACACAGGACTATAGAGACACACTCAGCACACACAGGCATGTACACACACGGGCTCACAGACACACGCAAGCAGGCATACTTAGAGGCACACACGGACACCCCACACAAAGGCAGAAACACAGACTCAAAACCACATGGGCACGCACACATGCCCACAAGCACACACCTGCACACTGTGTGCACACACTCAGGCACTGAGCGCCCATGGTCTTCCCTGGGAGTTCCCGCTCCCCCTCCATGCTGGAGGCTCAAGGGCTCCTGGTACACCTCTTTCCCCTGGGGGTTGTGTCCACCATGTAAAATAAGGCACATGCACGCCCATCTCCAAACCAAAGGTCCCCGTGTTGTATCCAAGACAAAGTCTCCAGACCCACAGCCACCGGTCCATTCCGACTCACAGCAACCCTTTAGAGAGGCCCCAGGCTGTCAATCTTTTTCACAAGAGCAGCTTTTCTCCTGAGGAGTGGCTGGTGGGTTTGAACCATCAACCTTGCCGCCAGCAGCCCAACACCTAATCCACAGCAGTGGTCTCGGTCACAGGTACTGTTTGGCGATGAAGACGAGCTGCCACACCAGTGAGTGTGGGTGCCAGGTGGGCGGTCTGTGCTCAGGGCACCCCGCCCTCTTTAACGTGGGCACTTCCGACACCAGAACAGCCTACCGTGCTGCTCGCTCTCAGTTTACAATTCCCATCTTCCCCTTTCCACTGCATTCTGAAAAGTTTGCAGTGCCCCGGCGCCTCCCTGAGCAGTCAAAGCTTTCAGAAGAGGTGCTGACAAATCAGATCACTTCTTCTCACCTCCAAGATTAGAACCGTTTGAAAAGCAGCTCAAAACCGGGCCAATGGAAGACCCTGGACAAAGTCCCCGAGGTGCCTAACCTTTGTCCCTGCCCTGGCCCACAGACTAGCGAAGCAAATGGGCAGCCGTTCTCCAGAGCCTGATGGAAAGGAAGGAGCCAGGTTCTAAGGGGGAAAATCTTAAATATGAGGAGCCTGTAAGGATGCATCCAACAGCATGTGAACACTGTACACAACACCACTCAGAAGGCACAGGACGCTAGCGGCCACGCAACATTGTATCT